CGAATACATGACGTCCAACCATTAATACCATGGAGTTTTTCCCGAACTCAAGAATCAAGTTATCAGGGTTTTCGATATATCCTCTATAGAAAATCTCTTTAAAATTGTCTTTATCGCCATCTTCTCTATAGAGAGCACTTCCGGTTATGTCTTTTTCATTTCGCGTAACACTTTCAATAAAACAAAATGCAACAAATATAGACGACATTTTTTGGACTTATTGAAGGATTGTGGAAGCTATTGGGGGCGTTTTTATACCTTTTGTTTGTCGAAAAGTGAACAGGCTATCAAACAAATTCAGCCGATAGTGACTTACCTAAACTGCTTGTTATAATTTTACGCGAATTATGTAAACGTTTATGTAAACCTTGTTATTTTTTATGTAATCATCTCAAATCCAAACTTCGCGAATAAAAATATTGTCTCAAAATGAATAATATTAAATAGAGAAAAAATATCAATTTGGAGAAAATATTATCCGTTATCTTACGACAAGCTTTTTACAATTCACGAGTCTTGATACGTCGATCGACGGAGATTCTCCTTAGTCCTCAGCATATAATGCTTCTCAAAATACTGTATTGTTGCCAAGATAATCCAGACACTTCGGCCGTCTTTGATAAAGAACAAGTGTAACGAGGTTAAGTGTTAAAAAGAAACCGCGACCAGAAAAAATAAAAGAGAAGAAAAATGACGTAAAATAAATTACCGAATAAAGAAATCTCAAATTTCTAGCCAATTTTGTATTTATGCATTATCGTGCGTCACGATGCAATTGTACCCTAAAAAGGTAAGACCCAATTTCGTTTTGTACAGTATTCAGGTGACAAGAATGTCGAATATGATCTTTGGCTCCTATTTTAAATAGCATTCTATTACGGTTAATCGGAAAGCATGTCGCTAACCAAGGCAAAGTTTCGCGCAACCGTGATTAGATATTGATTAAGTGTTGTGTGAGGAGTTTACAATTTGGCCAAAAATTATTTCACTTAATTTAGAGTAAGAAACAAAAAGAATAAATTATGCGAAATTGTGAGAAAATAAACTCTAATTTCTCAATTACACAATTCACGGCTCCTTTTTCACTCTTGTATTAACTAAACAAGGAAGGACTGCGACTTTAATTTCCTTTCGCGTAACTCCGGGCAACCGTCAGTCATATAAAGTCGCGTCTTCAAAGAACAATCCAATTACTCTGTCTTGTAGTGATCTGGGTTTTGTCGTACACAAAATACAGTACTCGGGCAGATTATGAAAATTACTCCAATAATTAAACGCTCAAGCCAAAGAAAAAGTTCCTGCGCCGTATTATTACGTGGGAGCTTGCATATTATTTATTTAATGTAGCTGATAATTGTTTTA